TAGGTCTCTATCTCTCTCCCTTCCTCTCTGTAAAAAATCAATAATATACAGTGGTGCCTCACACAACGAACTTAATTCGTTCCAGGAGCAAGTTTGTTATGCGAAAAGTTCGTTATGTGAAACACGTTTTCCCATAACAATACATGTTAAAAAAAATAATTCGTTCTGTAGCATAAAATATGCTAAGATGACATAAAAAAAGATAAATTTTTTGTTATTATTTTTATTTAGATACATCATGATATAAAAAAAATATTGAGTTTAACTTAAAAGGACGACTGCCGTGATACGTGCGTGATTTAATTCGTAATGAAGAACGATTGCCGCGATACGTGCTTAAGTTAAGCGCAGTGACTAACGACTGCCTGCAGTGCCTGCGCGGAAGGATGCAATACATCGGCAGCGATCGTGGAAGCTCGGGCGAAGCAGTCGTGGAAGCTCGGGCAAAGCGGTCGTGGAAGCTCGGGCGACTTCATTGTGTGAAACGAAGTTCGTTGTATGAATCATGAAATGAAGTTCGTTGTGTGCAGCGTTCGCTGTGCGAGGCGTTCTTTATGCGAGGCACCACTGTATATATATATATATATATATATATATATATATATATATATATATATATATATATTTTTTTTTTTAAAGATACAAATAAATTGAAAGATATTTGTGCTCATGAATTGGAAGAATCAATATTGTTAAAATGTCCATACTATCCAAAGCAATCTACAGATTCAATGCAATCTCTGTCTATATTCCAATGACATTCTTCAAAGAAATAAAACCTAAAATCCTAAAATTTATATGATATCACAGCAAACCCCAAGTAGTCAAAATAATTTTGAGAAAGAAGAAGAAAGCTGGAGGAATCACACTCCTTGATTTTAAACTATATTACAAAGCTATAGTTATTAAAACAGTATGATATTGGCATAGAAACAGACACAGATCAGTGGACCAGAAGAGAAAGCCCAGAAATAAACTCATGCATAAATTATCCACTAATTTATGACAAAAGGGTCAAGATATACAATAAGGAAGTATATTCTCTTCAATAAATGGGGTTGGGAAAACTGAACAGTCACATGCAAAAGAATAAAACTGGACCATTTCCTTATACCACTCACAAAAATTAACTCAAAATGGATAAAATATTTGAATGTAAGACCTGAAATCATAAAACTCTAAAAGAAAACATAGGAGGTAAGCTCCTTGACTTAGGCCTTAGTGATGATTTTTTGAATCTGATATTAAAAGGAAAAAAAAAAGTGGGACTACATTAAACTAAAATGTTTCTTCATTTTTGGGGGTGTTTTTAAATTTATTTTTTATGGATTAGGTATTATATATGTGACCTTATCCCCCCATTTTCCTTCCTTCTCTTCCCTGCTCCTGACCTGTATATAAGTCCTTTGGTTGATCACTCCACTTTACCTCCACCCTCCCCTGCCTTCCCTCTGAGGTATGATGATCTGATAGATGCTTCTCTGTCTCTGGACCTGGTTTTGTTCATTATATTCCACAGGTGAGTGAGATAATGTGATATTCATCTTTCTCCAACTGACTTATTTTGCTTAGCATAATGCTCTCCAGGTCCATCCATGCTGCTGCAAATGGTAACAATTCCTTCTTTTTTATAGCACCTATTTCATTGTGTAGATGTACTATAGTTTTCTAATCCACTCATCTGCTGATGGGCATTTAGGCTGTTTCCAAATCTTAGCTATTGTAAATTGTGCTGCTATGAACATATAGGTGCATATATCCTTTCTGATTGGTGTTTCTAGTTTCTTGGGATATATTTCTAGATGTGAAATCACTGGCCAATTTTTTTTTTCATTGCAAAGGAAACTATCAACAAAATAAAGAGGCAACCTACTAAATGAGAGAAGATATTTTCAAATCACATACCTGATATGTGGGTAACCTCCAAAATGTGTAGAGAACTCATAAAAATTAATAGCAAACTATTTGATTTAAAAATGAGCAGGAGATCTGAATAAACATGTTTTCCAAAGACATACAGATGGCCAAACCATATAAAAAGAGGTGATTAATATGCCTAATCATCAAGAAAATGCAAATCAAATCCATAATGAGATATTACCTTATATCTGTTAGAATGGCTATCATCAAGAAGGTAAGAGACAACAGGTACTGGCAAGGATGTGATGAGAAGGAAACCCTTTTGGTTCAATCGGTATGGAAAACAATATGGAAATTCCTCAAAAAATTAAAAATAGATCTACCATAGAATCCAGCAATTCCACTTTTGGGTTTATACCAAAAAGAAATGAAAATAGGATTATGTAAGAAATGTATACACTCCCATATTTATTATAACACTAATAATATCATAATAGCCAAAATATAGAAAAACCTAAATGCCCATGAATGAATTAATAGATAAAAAAAATGTATCAATAGATATAGATATAGATATAGATATAGATATAGATATAGACATAGACATAGACATAGACATAGACATAGACATAGACATAGACATAGACATAGACATAGACATAGACATAGACATAGACATAGACATAGACATAGACATAGACATAGACATAGACATAGACATACATATATAAGTGTCCCCCCAGAATGTATACACTCTTTGAATAATTACTAATTCCAATGGGTTAAGTCTGAAAAGAAACAAAAACAAAAACATCAATTGAGCTATCAGCTGTAAAGTATGTATTATTAAGCCATGAGAAAGGGAGATATTATGTCATTTGTAACAACATGGATGGACGTTGAGCACATTAGCTCTCAGACACAGATGTATTTGAGAAAAGTGGTTGCCAGATGCGAAGGTGGTGGGTGAGAAAAATGGGTGAAGGGTCAAAAGATAAATTTAAAAACATTCCAGTGTTAGAGGAGACAGCCAGGTGAGTAAGCTGCACCTATGGAATGATAGGTGAGGTGAGTATGTCCCTGATTGGCTGTACCACAACCTATACACACTCATTATCTTCCTACAGAGGAGCTAACATTTCCTGAGATTAAAAACCCATTCATGTAATAAAGAACAAGATTGACTTCATAAATCACAAATTAAAAATATATCCCATTATATCATAATCATACCATACATACTGTCATAAATTTTCAAGTGTAACTGGGTAAGAAAATCTTCACTTCCATAACAGTGGTAGTCCATTTATAGATCCAGAAGAATGCCCAGTTATTGCTAGTACATATTTAATGTGAAAGAAACTTGAAAAATCATTAAAGAAACTTAAAAACACAAAAGTCTGATGATCTGACTTCTCATGCAGGTCCTGTTACTCTGGTCTTGGCAAATTGCTTAACATTTATGTATTTTGTTGTCCTCATCTAGAAAACCCATGAGTTATACTGGATGAGCCTATGTTTTTTCCAACTGAAAATTACGTCAATTAGATCTAAGACTTACACAAAGTTAAAACTGTAATAAAATTCCTGGCAGGTTTATCTACATTCTCTCTCTATTCTGACATTTTAAATCAACCAAATGTTTTACTAAAATTTTTACTGATGTCATATCTCAGTTTTCTCCAATACATTAAACACTGGAATAAGCAAATATTAAAAAAAAAAAAAAAAAAAAAAAAAAAAAAAAAAACAACAACAACAACAACAACAAAACAAAACTCCGCTATATTTGCATTATATAAACTGTGGAGGTGAAAGCCAGTTTTAAATCTGATCATAGTTCATGAAAAATAAAAGTATAATCCACAAATGTTAAATTTTATCTCTCTGGTTACTATAGGTTGGAAAGCCAAGTTTTCAAATTCTTCAATAAACCTTCAGGAATTGAGCTCTAAATGGCCCTGAGATGCACATGACATGGTCAGCAAGGGAAGCAATGAAAACTCCAGAACTTAATAGAGCCTGGGGACACTGTGGGGAGCGCCCCTCTGAAGGACACAGAGCTGCTACCGTGTTTCCCCGAAAATAAGACATCCTCTGAAAATAAGACCTAGCGCGTGGAAAGATAAGACATCCCCTGAAAATAAGACCTAGCGCAACTTTGGGAGAAAAAAATTAATATAAGACACTGTCTTATTTTCGGGGAAACAGGGTAGTTGCAAATTTTGAGGAGCCCCTGGATTTGATTTCTGCAGCTTTGTATCACAAATAGAAACGGTGGAGAAAAAACACAAGTCCTGCAAGTCAATTTATCAAGGAAAGCCGGACTAAAATAACCTTTCTGTTCTTATCAAAGGACTTTTAAAACTGGTTTTTCAGGACTAGGATATGAATAGAAATTGAAAATTGCCCCACACACATTAGTCAATCTCAGGTTAGAATTTAGGGTACAGCATAGAGAAGTGAGCCAAACGTGCAGGAATTCCTGTGAAACCACACCTCCCCCACGCCCCCATTTAACCCCACCCTGATTCATTCCTTGGTTCATGAATGCAAAATATGTGATTTTCTTAATGGGGAAAATAGAATGGGTGGGGGATGGTTTTGTCACCTCTCTCACAGCTCAATGACTTGTAATGTTTTTAATAGTAAAAAAAAAAAAAAAAAAAAAAAAAAAAAAAACACACACACACAAACAAAACAAAACAAAAGAAAAAAAAACACAAATATAACACTATCTGTAAAACAAGAGGGTTTATCTTTTCACTAAAAGTATCATCTATCTGTGAAAACAGGGAGAGCCTTGAGAAAAATAAACCAGAGGGTGCTGGCCCCTGGACTGAAAGAATCTACTCTCCCGTGTCTGAGAGGATTCAATAGCTGACAGCTCCTACGCAGAAACTCCAAAAGGTTCTCATTACTGTGATGCCTGCAGATGGGCAAACTTTCCAATGCGATCTACATCACAGCAAGGAATAAGGAGCTGTGGACACGCGCAACAACCCACTGGAAGTTGCCAAAATTTAACTGGGAAAAGACAAAGTGAACACTAAGTTCTCATTTTAATCATTTACTTAGAAAACAAAGAAAGTTATGCAAGAAAAGCAGACCTATTTGTTTGCAAAAATGATTCAACTTACCTCTCTTGACTGAAAACAGGACTTTTTGTCCGAAAGTCTGCCTGGTTCCCGAGGCGGGTCGCTGAAGCGCCCTGCACCTGGAGTGGGCTGAGTGGCGCTCGCACTTCACCTGCCCGCGCTAATGAGCAGTTCAGAGGCTTCTCCCTCGGGGCTGAGTCACTCAGGGAGGAGGTGGGTGGTGTGAAAGAGGGTGTCACCTTGTACAAATACCAACTCAATGAAAACAGGCTCCCTGGTGGACCTACTGTCTTTGGTGAAATCTTCTTATACATTATGGCCTTGTTTGGCCAAAACCAAAAGTGCTGCTGTTACCACTTTTTTAAATTCGTATCAGCAACACACAGGACTATAACACTGGCAAGGTGGCATAGAACTCAACCAATTCTGGATTCTCTTTTAAAAACCAAAACAAAGCACCCAGGGTAGGAGGAATCTCTCTCTGCCCACAGTGGCGGAAGGCTGGGGCACAGATACACCCAAAGGAAGTACGCTGCCCAAGAGATCTCTTAGGAGAGAAAAGTCCTTGGGCACCCTGAGATCAGAAATTAGGAAAGGAATCTGCTACACAAGTTGTACACATGGAATATTTTATAAAACTATCTACACATGGAATATTTGTAAACTATTGTAGGAAAATACATTCTGAGATATAAGGGTCCTGATCCTTTTATTATTTTACCACATACACAGGTGCGAAAAGGATGCTCAACACTGTTTCCACATCTGAGGGCAGCGGCAGACTCCACTGTCAACGCCTGCTCTGGCGAGGACGGAGCAGTGCAGAGGGCTGTGCTAGGAGGGGCTCCTAATGTCTGGGCTCTGAGCCGCACCTTCCGCCATGGCCAGGGAGGCCTAAAGAAGCTTAGCAAGCCTGGAACAATGCTGAGGGAACCCGGGTCATGGGAGTTTCACCTTCATTCCTCTGTCACACCAACAATTAACCAGCCCTCCCGGTTCTCAGACAGCTCCTGGAAACCGCAGGCCAGCTGGGCTACAGTCACAGAAGTGACTATACCAAGAGGTAGAAAAATTCGGACTGGAAGCCGCAGGCAATTGCAATGTGTGGTCACTATGAGCCGGGACATGACTTCCTTAATGTGCCCTTTAGTCTAGGCTAAGGAATTTGAAAATCTAAAATGATTTTTTAAAATTATATCTGTCTATACATATATACATGTGTGTGTGTGTGTGTGTGTGTGTGTATGTGTGTGTGTGTGTGTTCAGCCCTTTCATGGAATTTTATATATGCAAAATATTTCAGAAATACGTTTTAAATTTCTGTGATGCTCATAAATTGGTTAGATTGATGGTGGACATTAATACTACAGATGAGAAAGTTAAAAAGCCCAAGTATGATGTGGCTGAACTAAAAATATAAATTAGAAAGCCCAAATGAAAGGCTAAAGGCAGTTTCCAGAGCAGGTTTACAGGGACAAGCAATAACTTTCATTATAGAATGTTTAAATGTATGTTTTTGTTCTTCATAAAATACAGAACCAGGAAATGTTTTTACCTTGTAATGAAGCAAGTACATGTAAGGCTTTTGAGCTTTTGAGCAATTATTTCTGCATGTAATTGAAGGTTTCTTTTATGGACCAGGAACCCATACCACTAAACCACACCAATGTCTTTTCATTTAGAAACAAACCTTTGATTCAAAAAAGAGCTAATTCTAAACACTTGGGGAAAATTTCAGACCTCCTTATCACTGAGCAGACATTCAGCATAAATAAACAAACAACCCCCCCCCCCAACTGCCCAAAATTAAAAATCTCAGTGTGAAGAGGTCAATCAAGAATGTGCCTGGGTGTGGAGGTGGCAAATAGGTTTGGCCTTGGTTTCTCTCTGGCCCTGAATGGGGAAGTCTTGAGCATACTTAGAATAACTTTACTTCACCACGCCTATTTCACTGTGAGTACCTGGTCTGTTTGCAGGGGTGGGGAACATCCAGCCTGAGGGCTGTGTAAGGCCCATGAAATCATTCGGTCTAGCCCTGCCAAGCATTAGGGGTGAGCTAATTAAATGTTCAACCAAATATAGTGGGCTAATTGATAATTTCGTAAGGCCCACAAATGATCCTATATAATAAAAGCCTAATATGCTAAGGTCTGATCATCCAGTCAGCCAGTCAACCAATCAAAGCGTAATATGATAATGATATGCTAAGGTCACTCAACTGCTCACTGTGATGTGCACTGACCACCAAGGATCCAGTGCTCTGACTGGTAGGTTAGCTTGCTGCTGGGGTCTGGCAGACTGGGACTGAGCAAGACAGGCTGGAAAAACCCTGGAGTCCTCCCATGGTTCCTCCCCAGCTGGCCAACCTTCAATGTCCCTCCCTGGCCCCAGTCGTGCACTAGTGGGGTCCCTCAGGCTGGCCTGCACTCTCTCACAAGCTGGGACCCCTCTGCGGATGTTGGAGAGCTGGTTTTGGCCCAATGATGGAATTACCGATCACTATGACATGCACTGACCACCACAGGGCAGATGCTCAATGCAGGAGTTGCCCCCTGGTCGTCAGTGTGGTTCCACAAGGAGAGTAACACTCAGCCAGAAGCTGGGCTCATGGCTGGCCAGCAAAGCAGTAATGGCAAGAGCCAATCCCACCTCTGCGGCAGTGCTAAGGATGTCTGACTGCTGGCTTAGGCCCACTCCCTGCAGGCCTAAGCCATCAGTAAGACATCTCCAGAGGGCTCCTGGACTGCGAGAGGGTGCAGTCCAGACTGAGCCCCCGCCCCTCAGCCCCCCCTTCCCCCGCCAAGTGCATAAATTTTGTGCACCAGGCTTCTAGTGTTATAAATATCCACATGGCCCTTAGCACAAAAAAATTCCTCACCCCTGGTTTAGAGTATAAGGACGTAGGCTGGGATGAAAATATTTTTCTCAGGTGGCAAAGCCAACTTCTTGGTGCTGGTTACATAAAGGGATATGAGGTTTGTAGACAGCTTTGGACTTACCCAGGAGGGTGCCATGGTTTATTAGCAATGTCTGCCACAGGCCTCATATGGGGGAGTGTTGTTGACCCTACCTCCCAACACAGGACAATACTTTTTCTAAGTGTTGTATCCAAAGAAACCATCAGCCAAGATGAGCACTAGATAATAATAAAAATTATATTACTATATAATAATAAAAATAACAACATGTATGTAGCACTTTTAATGTGCCAGGCATTTTTCTAAACACTTTTTATACATTAATTTAATAGTTTTTATTAAATAACTAGAGCCCCAGTGCACAAAATTCATGCACAGGGGAGGGAGGAGAAGGGGGTGGTGGTGTCCCTCAGCCCAGCCTACACCCTCTCCAATCTGGGACCCCTCGAGGGATGTCCGACTGCCCTCTCACAACCCAGGACTACTGGCTCCCAACTGCTTGCCTCCCTGCCTTCCTGATTGTCCCTAACTGCTTCTGCCTGCCTGCCTGATCACCCCCTAACACTCCCATGCCAGCCTGATTGATGCCTAACTGCTCCCCTGCCAGCCTGTTTGCCCCCAACTTCCCTCCTCTGTCAGCCTGGTCACCCCTAACTGCTTTTCCCTGCAGAGTTGATCACCCCCAACTAACCTCCCTTGCGGACCTAGTGCCTCCCAAGTGCCCTCCCTTGCTTGCCTGATCACCCACAACTGCCCTCCCTTGCAGGCCTGGTGCCTCCCAACTGCCCTCCTCTGTTGGCCATCTTGTGGTGGCCATCTTGTGTCCACATGGGGGCAGGATCTTTGACCACATGGGGGCAGCCATCTTGTGTGTTGGAGTGATGGTCAATCTGCATATTACTATTTTTTTAGATAGAATAGAGGCCTGGTGCATGGGTGGGGGTCAGCTGGTTTGCCCTAAAGGGTGTCCCAGATCAGGCTGGGGATTCCTTTGGGGTGTGGAGCAACCTGGGCAAGGGGCCTGTGGTGGTTTGCAGGTCAGCTACACCCTCCAGAAACCCAAGCAGAGGCCTTGGTATCTGGAATTTATTTACCTTCTACAATTGAAATTTTGTACCCTGCTTGCTCCCTGGCTGCTGCCATTTCTGTTTGGATTTGTTTACCTTCTATAATTGAAACTTTGTAGCCTTAAGTGGAGGCCTAGGCTGGCCAGGGCAGGTGGAAAGCTTGGCTTCTTCCATTGCCAGAGAAACCCAAACCTCCCTCCTGCTCTCTGTGGCTACAGCCATCTTGTTGGGATTAATTTGCATGCTCACTCTGATTGATGGTGGGCATGGCTTGTGGGTGTAGTGGAGGTATGGTCAATTTGCATATTACTCTTTTATTAGATAAGATAGTTTCCTCCTACTATAGTCTGAATGTTTGTGGTCCCTCACACCCTGACAAATTCATCTGTTGAAGTTCTAACCCCTAAAGATGATGGTACTAGGAGCTGAGACCTTTGAGAGGTGGTTAGGTCAAAAGGGTAGAGCCCTCATGGCTGGGGTTAGTGTTTCTATAAAATGCCCTACAGAGCTCTCTGGCCCCCCTCAACCATGTGAGGGCACAGCAAGAAGGCCCCTCGCTATGAAAGAAGAAGAGGACCCTCACTCATGCATGCTGGAATGCTGATATATCCTCTCTAATAAAAGAGTAATGTGGAAATTGACCATCACTCCAGCACACAAGATGGCTGCCCCTATGTGATCAAAGATGGCTGCCCTTGTATGAACACAGATGGCCACCACAAGATAGCCTGCATGGGAGGGCAGTTGGGGCCAACCAGGCCAGAAAGGGGGGAAGGCAGTTAGGAGTGACCAGGCCATCTGGGGAGGGCAGTTAGGGGCAATAAAGCCAGCAGGGAAGCAGTTAGGTATCAGTCAGACTGGCAGGGGCGTGGTTAGGGAGTGATCAGGCTGGCAGGCAGAAGCAGTTATGGGCCAATCAGGCATATAGGCAAACAGTTGGGAGCCAGCAGTTCTGGATTGTGAGAGGGATGTCCAACTGCCTATTTAGACCCAATCACAATGGGATTGAGCCTAAATGGGCAGTTGGATATCTGTTGAGGGGTCCCAGATTGGAGAGGGTGCAAGCTGGTCTGAGGGGCAACCCCCCACCCTGTGCATGAATTTCATGCACCAGGCCTCTTATCTAATAAAGAGGGAATACGCTAATTGACCCTCACACCATCACAAAAGATGGCGGTACCCACAGCCAATAAGGAGGGAATATGCTA